TGTTGGCCTGCAGTACATTGCCGTATTGTGTAACAACGTTTGCTGGTGTATGGCATCAGCCTTGCGCTCTATGAATGGGATAAGTGTCAACACATATAACACGAGGTTTACCATACGACAAGGTTTTTTGGAGAGTCCCTTTGAACTTGTATTAAGCATGTTCGACTGTACATGTTTGGTTCTCCTTTCCAGATCTTTAATGGTGCAAAATAAACCCTGACATGATAAACTAATAAATGCTACATAAATACTACAGTAAAGGATGTACTATTCATGCACAGACAAATTAAACACAAAGCTCAAACTAAACCTGAAATTCACTTAAAATGAACAAGACGTATGTAGGCCTAAAGGGCACACGTGTGCTTCCACCTGCACAGACCATCAGCACATAATTTAACCAAAAGCAATGACCTCAACAATGTGGAGTTGGTAACTGCAAACTCGCATCAGTCCTTCCATTATCACAATCCAGGAGTCCATCAAGCACTCTGTTGGAAAATAAATAAGTGCGTCAATTACATCGGCAATGGACACTAAATATACCACTTGCAATGTCACAAATATCGCTAAAACAATATGAGTGATAGCAATAACTATAACCTACACTCAGGTGATGATGAAGTAGTGCATCATGAACAATCGCAGAGTGACTGGTATGCTGGTGTAGTATCAAAGCTACTACCAAGTCTTCCTACTGTGCTTCACTAAACTTGAACAACAGGCTTCCTAGTACTGGGTAATAAAAGTGTTGGCTGGCTGATCCCTTGCTGCACTGAAGGGAGGGCAAGACTTTACCGTCTACTCCAAAACAAGATGGCAGCCAGTCAGGCTGCACAAGCAGGCCCGAATTTGTCACTTAAATTTCCACCTTCAAATATCATTTTCAATAATATGATACGTTGAATATGATATGCCGGAGCCTTACAAATATTGTAGAATATTTGTATAAAAATGCTTGAATATTTAGTTGATGTTTTGTTGACTCTCGTTGACACTTAATAGCATGACCCAACTATCAAAGGACTGGAAGAGTTAATCTGAAGTCACCAGGGAATTCATAGCTAAACTTTAGACAATAAAGTTGGCCTAAAGAAAACCATTATACCTTCAATAAAAACATTACATTTTATAAGAGGAACACTAAATACATAATGAGAGTATGTCAAGTACACTTACCCCTGTCACCGAGCATTGCAGTAGCACATGGAAACTTGAAGAAAGAGTCAACTACTAAGGGTGTACAGTGCTTGTTGGCTCTACTGTGGCTTACAGGTGAATGACCTACCACCAGCTTATGGCTATCTACTTGTATGAACTGCACAGTCTGAGCCAAACTGTCAAGTCACACAACATTAATCCAAGCTAACACTCTGTATATTGGTGGTGTGGCTTTTATTTGTCTGCACTAGGGAACAAACATTTCATCACCTTTTTCATGAAGAGGCACATAAGTGGTATTTTTCCGATTTTGATTGCTTTCATGTTGTTAGGGGCCCAAAGCTTGATAAGTGCATTTTATGTTTTCACAAAGAGTCACAAATGTTACTGCCCATCATACCAGTACAAAATGTACTGTAGCGAGCGCGAACAGGGCATGCGCTCAGCGCATGATCATCCTTTTGTTCACTAGTGGTTGCTAGGCAGCTGGCACGCAAGTTTGGTGCAGAAGCATGGCGTGGTCACACTCTGTGGTTGGGCTCCGTTGAAGTAGGATGTTCTGACATTCTGAGTTGTACATGTACACCGAATTTACGTGAGTGGAACTCCAGGAATGATCGATGAAGGAGAGAATTAAACCAAGGAGAGAACAATCATAGAACTGTAATCCTGTGTCTCTGGTGGGCTTTATCTTTCTCGTTCTTGGTTTATATCTTGTCTGTCAAAGTCCAAACCTGCCTTGTCTGGTGTGAAAGTCTTTAGACCGCATACAGGTCCTGTTACACTGGTGGCAGCATCAGGATTGTGTCCTCCGTGTCCATTTAAGTCTCTAATTTTTGACAGTTAGGTACACCCTCCAGAAAAAGAGAGAACAGAATCCAAAAAAGGGCAGTGGTGTATACCAAACCATGGGAAGGAACAATGCGTAGCTTGGCAGCAGACCATAGCAGTGGTGTATACTGAGCCGTGGGAAGGAACAAAAGGTGACTGATCAGTGTAGCACAGCAGGGGTGAACACCGAGCCGTGGCAGGGAGCAAGGGGTGACTGACAAGTTTAGTGTGGCAATCGTGTCTTCTGAGCCCTTGAATTGGTGCGTGTAGCTAAAGAGACCCCGCGCCGGAGTGTTGCCCAGAGTCTGCCACCTGGTGTCTACAGACCGATATCCAATGGGTGGTTCGGGTCCCTCGACTGACTTTGCACTATTAAAGAATATTGTTTAAAGATCTAACGTAAAGATAATGAAATAAGCAAGACGCAATTCATTGACAATGGAAAGGCAATTTGCGCAGGGACTGGCTACTAGGCATTCCACCTTGGGTGATCTAGACCTATACAATGTCCTTGAGAGGGAATATGAGAGAGTTTCTCAGGAAATCGAAGTATTTTCCCAGAGCCTGAAAGGTATGCTAAGAGGTCCCCCAAATGAACAGCACATAAAAAAAAAATCACCAGGTAGCGCTCAGGCAACAACTGGGAACAAGCTGTACACCCAGTTGCCCCTCTGGAGAATGCTCAACCCCCCTTTCGAGATAATGGTCTGGGCAGAATTAAAGACAGAGTCCAAGCAACACTGAGTAAATCAGAGTTTGATGGTCCCATGCCCCAAATCAAATACTTAGACGAACTCAGGGGTGGATATTGCAGACAATCTTTCCTGAGCCAGAGAGACTTTAATTTCCAGTAACACAAGCCGAGGGTTGCGGTAGGGACTGGCCATTTGGGATGGCCCACCTGGGCCACAAGGACTGGTTGACAATTTGCTGGGAACTAACACTAATTCCATTCATAATTCGCCCGCTGTAAATAAACTGAGTCCCAAGGTTTATGGGCCTCCAGTTTACTTGAGGAATTAAGATAAATTCACAGGCTGCACTGACTGGGCCGAGAGCTTGCCATAAACAGAAGTGGGGAAACACGATCAAAGTGGATGGTTGAGGAGTGTTTCTTTCAGGACCCCTCCAGCGGAATTTGTCTGGCGGGAGCACAACCCGATTAGTTGTGCCTCTTGAGTTGCCTGAGAACTTCAACGATTGGCACAGGAGGAGAGAAAATGAGAATACATGTATTGGACTGCCTCAAATCCGAGGTTGCATGAAACCAGTCCAAACCAAAGAAACAGCCCATCGACCTACTGGACGGTGCTGTCAATGCCGTGCTTGGAAAACTCCAGAGCGAGACCACTTTCTGAATGAGCTCCAAGATGATGAGATACGGACAAGGATAATCCAAATGCAGACAAATTACAGCTGCAGTTGAACTGGAGGCTCTGTATAAGGCCGAGAAGGAATGTTGGTCTGTGGAAATCAAGAAGCTCAGAAGTGCCACTGTTGAAGTGGTTTAAGTGGAACGGCCAGACCAGCTGAATTTGGAGCTAACTTGTTTGCCACAGGCCAAAGATGGGCCAAAGTCAAAGCGTGATACTATGTGGATCACAACCCTGACATGAATTAATTCAGTGGCCTAATGACCACAAGAAATCTAAGCTCCAATACCTTGCATATGAAACAATAATATCAGGCCTCGAATTTCATTTTTTTCAGGGCACTGCCATTTGGCATTGGTGGACTGGCTGAAATAAAGGGCAGTAGTGCCAAATGTGAGGACATTAATGCAATCCCGATTTTTTTTAACATTGCATGAAAATGATTCAGGTCTAAGAAAAAGTAGGATACGCATTATACCTGAACATGTCCATAATAAGTGCAGCAGCCAAGTGTTGAAAGGCTTTGGCCTGTTTTGACTGCAGCCATTCTTTCCTCAGCATTTTGCGTACCACAAAAACTGGCCAGGCCAGTGATTTTGCAAACAACGTACGTGAGAATTAATCGGGGTAGTTCCGATCAACCATACCGATGTCGTGCATGTATAGTTTGGATCGCGTGCAGTGTGTAGCACTAAACTGCAAACATTACATTGCGGTGTTAGTTAAAATACTGCCCCGACCATACAATTGTCCCATGTGTACGAAAAACGTGGAGCTCTCGATATACCGATAATGCGTACATGTTGATGAGCACTTGTTCTAGACTGACATTATTGCATGGTACATTAAAATACTTGGCTTGGGCATACGCTGTTATGTTAAGTCATTAGATAGGCTGGTGGGTGTCGCCTGTGCCGTGCTTTGCTTGCAATTATGCAGTGTGCATGGAGCGGGCCGGGCTACCGGTGCGCGGCGGGCTGAGTGTGCGATATTCCCACATACACACAGTGCACGCACGCCATGCTTTTATGCATGCATGCCATGCATTTGGGTGGCATGGCACGGTGTTCCGGCAGAATGAGAGCAATCAAGGGACGATGTGTATGCTGCTTTCCATGCCGCTTTCCATGTGCCTCGCTGAACAGGGGCAGTTGATATGCCCGTGTAGGGCACTACGGCCAATAGAAAAAAAGGGCACTGCCATCTTGGCGGTGAAACACGATCACTTTTCGGAGGCACCACAGCCAAATGGGAAGGCAACGACGGCCATGGCCGTTGTGAAATTCGAGGCCTGTAATGTGTTTTGAAAAGTTTATAATGCTTTCATTCATTTTCTTTACCTGTTTGAATGATTTGGCCAGGGAAAGGAAGGGTGTTGTAACAGGTACACGAAATTCGCTCTTTGCACTGTGACCCTGCCACCATTGGCATACAGAGCCTCGAACTGGCAGTTTGTACAATTGTGTCAGAATTGCTTTGTCCATCACATGGTATAAGAACTGAAGCAGCATGCGCAAAATTACATAAGGAACACAACTGGAATCACTGAACCGGCTACATTTATTGTGTAAAGCTGCCAGACTGAGGCTCTGCATGCCTATGGCGGCAGCGTGCAAAGAGCGAGTAGCTTCCTACCTTGATGTTATTTTGAGATGCCTCATATACTTCATGATCATCAAACTTATACCAGCTGTTATTCACATTCAGGCAGCAAGCTGTATCTGTTAAATAGTAAATCAAACAAACAAAATAGTAATTAAACTTTCACTGAGTTTACCCACACAAGCACTCCAGTTTTAAAGGAGCATTTACACAAGCTGAAATTTTCACATGTAGATCAAGTTTAACCACGCAATTTAGCTCCTTTTCAGCTTCTACGTGATTTACAACAAGGCAGTGAAAGTGCTGGATTCCACTTTGCGGCTCAATTACATCTACTGCCTTACAGCGCGTTCCCACTTGAATTGGGAAAAGGTGGATCTTGATCCAGCATTTTGGTGTGATCGTTATCTTACCGCAACAAAACCGCAAGTCGCGTTCCCACTAGCGCTTGATCCACCTTTTCGGATGGAAATGTCGAGCCCGAAAGGTCATTGAGTTTGGTATTGCACATGTGCTAGCTTGCTGAGTGCGCTCTCTGTGGCAGTGTGGCGTGCTGGGACGGCATGCCTGTGACCCTGCAGTGTTTTGGGTGCGGAGTTCTACTGACATGACGACCTTGAATCGCACAGAATGTTCAGCCTAGTGCATTGTCTCTTCAAACTTTGCTTCCATTTTTGATACTCTGTCACATGCTGCGGGCTATACGCTAACATGATGATGATTATTATTATATTGTTTTATTGTCAAATGTTTTTCACTTTTGTGAGCCTGAAATTGTTAAAAAACAAAAAAAATATCATAATCAAAAGCACAAACACATACAATGTACATTAACCACTTCGGACCGGGGCATTATTCAACGTTGACGATGCTGGGCCGGCATGACTATCATTTTTTCCGTTTTCAAAATCCTTCAACAATTCATCATTCCA